AATTTAGAAAATAATTAATAAAACGCCTAAAAGTTAATATTTTTAAATTTTGATTTGTGCTATCCTTATTAGAATTGACTAGTACTCATTATAGGCATAAAACATTTTCAAAAATGTTATTTTATTTTCCAAACACATGAGAGTCTATGGCGGAATTTACCATTTTCAAAGTTAAACTGTAAGCAGACATGCAATATATTTTTAATTATTTTTTGATATTATTAAAATATAGTATCTCATCTACCATAGCACTACTCCATATAATTTTAGCATTAGCAATCTTTGCGCTGACTATGGGTCCAGCAAATGATCCAATTTGACAGAATATTCTTGATGTCATACAGAATATTCTTGTTTATTCAGGGCTACCTCATAATGAACTTTAAATGTGCCAGAGTATAGATTTTAGCTACAATTAATAAGCGAGCTATTAAACAAATGATCGTTGCAGATTCACTTGACTAACTTTATATTATAAGTGGAAATTAATATGTTTATAAACATCTTTAGCTTTATTCCTATAATTAATGTTTTAATAATTATTTTTAATTACTTTTATAGATGTTTTGCACTCTCAACAATAATTATTATAAAATATTAATAACATTACAATTGAAAATTTATTTATATAATAAATAATGTATATAAACATGAAAAAATTCACTTTGATTAACAAATAAGTGTTAATTAAATAAACTTATAAATAAATAAATTTTATCTATCTAAATAAACTTACTGGAATATACAGTTGCAAATAGTTTTGTATTTAATTATACTGTATTACAAAAAAATTATTAATTTTTATTTCATAACAAAACATTGATTTTCAATGACCTTATGTTTGGGAATTGAAAGGCAATTAATATTTTGAATAATAATTGTTATTATGCAGGACTCGGATAACCCTATTGTCGCATAAAATAGTTATATTTAGTTTTGATTTGTTTGCGGTTTTAAATGAAAAACTATTTTTTTATAAACTACTCTAAAATCAAATACTACTTTATTAATAGTAACTTTATTATCATAGTATCATTACTAATAAGTTTGTTAGCACTAAATATAATCCCGGTGCTCATACTGTATATTCCGGTGTCTGACCCTCACTTATACAGTACTTATGATAATCAACTGATTAATTGCTATAATGTTTGACAAACCCTTCAACAAATGATAATCAATAAACAATACATTAATAAACATAAAAAACTTCTTACATAGAAGTGTATGATTGCTAATTGTATATGAAATCTGAAAACAATATAATATATTATAAATTAATTAATTCCTAAGTTATTGGCAATGATAGCGACAAAAACAAGTATATATACAATATTTTCTCGACTCACTATTGATGTGAATATTAAATATAATGTGTTTTAGCAAATAAATAGCCAAAACATAGGGTGCAATAAATTGTCAAATCATTGTAAATCAAATCCAATGGCTTTCATATCGTCATTGCCTTAACAACAAGTGATGATAAAAACTTTAGCCAATAATAGGTATTTCATATCATTCTGATCTAGACATACACACAACACATTGTGAGGACAATAATGGACATAAACGTCAGTTGTATATATGCTGTCCATATCGATTCATTATGTATGGCTCATCTGTTAGCGACATATTTTTGTACATAACCTCATAACAATAGACAAAAAAGCGACAAAAATATAGTTATTACCTGTATTTGCAGTCAACATATATACGACAGGTATAGCTAAGTAATACATACCGAGTAGACAATCGCTGTATAAAAACATGTATTCCTCATAACAATAGACAAAAAAGCGACAAAAATATAGTAATTTTTTTCTGTTAACTCATCCAAAAACTCGTATAATAATAGTATTTTGTATAACAAATATATATTAAACTCAGAAATGGCTGTTAGTTGCGGTGGATCTGTGATTAAAATTGTATTATTTGTGTTCAACTTCATCTGGGTGGTAAGTAGCTTGACAAAAAGTTTTTTATAAATAAAATATTCTTACATTTCATATTAAATTATACTTTACACTCAGATTCTGTGAATATATTAGTTGTCAAAAATGACAGGTTATTACAATTGTCTAAAAATACTGATATTTATAATAAGAGACATAACTGTATATAAGTTATTAGGAAATAAATATTAACTCAATGGACAGACATCTCAGAAATATTTGATAAAAATGTTGTGTTATATAATATTTTATATATGAAAAAATCAATTGTGTTAACAGTAATAGCAATGCAACAGATATTGTTGTTTAGCAACTGATATGTGAAAGTGATTTATATATACAGTAGCGTACAGTACTGTACAGTGCGGCATACATTATATTAAAACAAAACACATAAATTATTTAATAATTAATTTTAATGACAATAATATACGATAGTTATGTGGGGCGGCCATCATATACCTGGGCGTTCGGGTTATCCTAAAATACACGCCCGATGTGACTGATGTGGTGAAAGAGACCCCGGCGTTTGTACCCATTTTTATACATAATATAACATTATAAACAAAAAATTGTTTACCAAAAAACACATATTTAATAAGCTTTAATGGTATTAAACATAGCTTATCTCATTAAATACAATATTTTCATACAAAAACAATTTTTTGTTTTTCATAAAAGTGTTAATCTAAAATAATTAATTATAAACTTGGTACAAATTGTAATCAATAGATATTCAGCGATAGTGCTGTTAGTGGCGGGAGGGCTCATACTAGTGGTCAGCTTTTTAGGCTGTTGTGGTGCTATCCGTGAGAGCTATTGTATGCTTAACACCGTATGTATACCACAATATTGTTGACCTATCACTACATATTAACTACAATATCATTAATACTATTAATTGACACACCAATGGACAGTACGGCGGACTCGTATTCCTATGTCTGGCAGCACAGGGTGTCGGCGCTTATATGGCCATCAAATACAACCACGATGTTTGTTACTTGATGACATACATATAATTAAATGATTCTTATGATAATTCTCGGTGAAATAGTTGGAGCAATACGTGAACAAAGGCATTAAGTCAGCACTGGATGCCTACAAATGGGAGTTACCCGAGGATGAGGCCACCAATCGTGCCATCAATGAGTTCCAGAAGCAGTTGCAGTGCTGTGGAGGCAAAGACAGATACGACTGGAACGGGGTTTATGGCAAACCAGAGGGTCAGTCATATTAGTTAGCTAGTTCATATCAGGTATTAATGTTCGTGTTGTGTGTCTTAGGTCTATTCCCGGGGTCATGTTGCAAGGAAAACGCTAATAAAGTGGATGGCAAGTGTATCGAAAGCAATACCTGGGTATAATTTGTCTGATTTGCATTTTATTGACAGTTTTAATTAGTTTACAAAACGTTTTTTACAAAATTAATATCAGGATAAGGGCTGCACTAAAGCCCTAATCGACTACATGAAGCTATATCTCGGAAGTTTAGGTGAGACTCATATCATAATACTATAATAATCATACATTTCTAGTCATAAATACGTGTAAAATGAGTGAAAATCGCGGATTTGTATGAATGAGATGTCATTTCATATTTATTGTACGCTGTTTTGTAGGCTATATAGCCATCGGCGTGGCTGTGGTGGAGATCCTGATCGTTATATCTGCCTGTTGTCTGTCCCGTGATATCAAGAATAAATACGCCACGTATTCCAACCCTAAGGCCCGGGCCTAGAGCAACGGTATGTGTACCCAACGGTATGGTCTACATGTATCATATAGCGAGCCTACAATTAACACACGGTTTTAACTTAACTCTAAAAATATTATATACTTTTAAATAACTGCGAGAATTGACTGTAATTTACACATTAGTATAGAGTTTATATAAATAGTCGATAACTAGGCTGCATTTAATTGACTCATTATTATCTCGACTTAATGTATAAGTTATGAAAACAAATGTATGTTTTTTTTGTTCATTTTTCGACACAAAGTTTTTCTCATTATTATTATTATTCCGATAAACAAAACTCTTATTCAATACATTTTATAAATAATTACCAAGTTTATTTATGCGTTCATTTAATAAAACACAAATTAAACGTTAAATTAAATATAAAATTAAACTAAAAAATCACTTAATTATACACAAAATAAACAATCAGTTCATCAATGATTTAGTCATCCGTTGCACACAATTGGTGTCATTTGCTATGAAATACTTGTCATAATTCACTGAAATTCATGCAAAAACTGTGGATACAGTTCCCCACCAAACCCTTCAATGCCTACTCCGATGACCCCTCGAATGACTACTTCTTTCCGGTGATGAATGCCTTCGATGTCTACTATAATCGTCTCTATTATCCCTTTTATGATCACTTTTACGGTCTCTATCGCTATACCTATCCCTATGTCTATCCCGATCCCTACCCCCTCTATCATCCCTATCCATATCGCCATACCTCTGTCTCTGCCTATCGGTAGACCTACTTCTCGATCGCTTCGCCCTTTTACTCCTATGGTGTCGTTCCCTATCATCCGCTACCCTATCAGGCGATCTGTTCCCAGTCTCAGCTCTGGTAGGCTTTCCCTGTCTCTCATCATAAACATAATCATACTTCGCGTCCAATCGCTGTCCAAACGCCGACTTTTTCAGCACAAACCTGTC